GTAGAGGGACTCGAATGCATGGCGTGTCACAAAAAAATCAACTGAGGTGGTCATATATCGCTATTTCAGCTCTTCGCTCCCTCATTCTTTCCTAGGGCAAATTTCCTCGTAACAAATTGAAAAGCTTATATGAACTCACCCATATTTGTAGTTTCACGCGTTTGTCGCCTCGAAACACTGTTTTTACCTGAAAAAAAAGTGTTATTTGAGGAGGTATTGCGTGACCAACACGATCCTTTGATCAGAAAAGCTCCCAGAAATTTCTTTTAATCATGCTGATAGAGCCAATTCAACGTAAAGCACCTTATCATTAGTAGAGACCTATCGGAAGTTCAAAATACTATCGTAAGTGCCGCAATTACTTTTTAGGAACATATTTGTCTATGTTCTGCAATCGTGAAGGTGACATAAACCATCTCACCTTAAAATCAATTCCTACAGTAGAAACGAAAGCCGACGTGAAAGAGTCGTCACAATAGCGGAACAAAAACGACGTTTTTCCCACGGAAGAGTTGCCAATGATCAGCAACTGAAATGGAAATTAATGGTATCAGAAGAATTCAACAAGTTTCTGTAGGAATGAATGGGAATATAGCACCAGAAACGTTCCTGCTGGGCTGCTTATTTTTAAAGGCAAAGGTCGGGCTCAGGCACGCTAGAGAAGTAATTCCCGTGCCTGGAGGTTGTATGTGGGTAGCTGCACACATTGCAGCAACTTCCCACCTTGAAAAACCCCGTTAAGGCCCCGGGGCGTTCGGTTTCAATCCAGGGCCGCCTGGTCAATCCAGGACCGCCCACCTCCGGAAGTGGTGCGTGGCTGGCATAACGTGTGAAATCAGCTAGGTTGATTGCCGTATCAACCGATAGAACGACTGACATCTCCAGAAAACTTGTTTGTACGTGCCTCTTTCCCAAGCCAGCCTCCTTCACTGCTAGTGGGAAAGAGGGTTTTGTTAACGGCCTTGTCGACGGTTTTTCTCAGTTTTTTCTCCACTGTCGTTCCACTTCGCATCTCTATACTCAGTTTCAATCGCCATAATACCCCCTTACTGAGCCCAACCTTTGCCTTAAGGCGATAGAAATTTTGAGTTTGCGTTTTAGCGCATCGCTTTCAAAAACGACTGCAGTAAATACATGGCTTCTTCACCGCTTGATCGCACCTCCTGCACAACCGTCCATTTTTTTTTTTTTTTTTTTTTGGTTTGTTGAGCGGTATCAAAAGAACTAACATGCTTTTCACGTTGCAAATTTATGCCCTGATATTCGTCATATTAAAGACGTCGATCATCCACTGAGGTATCCTTTCGTTCATCGTTCACGAAGAAATCATTTTGTTCAGTATATAATTGGACTAGACTGCTACATCCCAATTTTCTTCACAATTATCCGTAATAAGGGGTTGGCGCTATTGCAGGATACGGGGCATGTTTTATGAGCAAGCCTAGGAGAAAACAGGGGCTTTTTCGAAATGAAAATTGCTAACGCACCTTCAATTATCTCCTCCCTCGCCTTACAAGGGAGGGTTTCAGGGTGTGCCAAGCTTTTTCAAAACGGTCTTTTGCATGATATAGGGGCACATGTGGGAACCACAGAACCATGGTTAATTTTTCCTGAACGGCCCTCTGAATACCAGAAAAGGGGGTCCCTAGTCACACCTTTTTCACCAGTTTTTCATCAAAGTCTATTTGTAAGGGTTACTGACGGTCCTAATCATGAATATGGTACTAATTATTCATGCTAACTCCATTTTGCGCGAATTTTGGAACGTCAACTCGAAATGCAAAAATTTGTCACCACGAGGAATCGAACTAGGGACCCCTTTTCTGGTATTCAGAGGGCCGTTCAGGAAAAATGAACCATGCTTCTGTGGTCCCCGCCCCTGTCATGCAAGAAACCATTTTGAAAAAGCTTGGCACACCCTGAACGACCTCCCTTGTTAGTCCCAATTTTCAAAAAAATGATCTGTATTACGTGGCTGCAAATGCACTGCTGCCAACATGCCTCCGCATTTTGTGATAGTGCCAAAGCCTTTTCAGAGAATTTACTCATGTCAGAGGTGGGATTCAAAGTGTAGTTTGGCCTCATTCTAAGCAGCGAATCGGACAAATTTTGCACTTCCCTCTCTATCTCTAAGGAGGCACAAACATGGCGAATGATTTCTCTGGTGAGCAGAACAAGAAGTGGACTAGACTGGGCCCATTCAACAGAAAAAAAATTCGGCTGCACTTTAACGCCAATATTGCCTTGAATGGGCACGAGAAAAATATTGGGACAAATGGAATGGATTGCAGGGTTTCATGCAGCCCGGCAAAGTTCAGTTACGCTCGATGCAAAAAGGCTCATTGAAGATGAAACGATTATTTACAGAGCAATCTTAAGTACATTAGCCACGTATTCAAACATCTTCAAAAGCATTCGAATTTGCATGAGTGCCATTTTCGTGGGCGTTTTCTCTGCGTGGGAAGCTCTAAAAGGGATTCATGACTTTCTCAGTGAGTGCATGTGCGAGCATTTGGGCATTTGGGGGCACATAAAGCACGAAACCAGTGCACTCGTTGCCGACTTTCACGGCGAAATTCGGGGAACCAGCGCTAGTTATTGAAAAAGGGACACGACGGAAAGCGCAATGAAGGGGAAAACTACGTACCTTGAACATATAATCGAAGTTCTGATCACCTTGTGCTGGTTGTGCTCCAGCGACTGCCATCTGAAAAAGTCGAACCACTGAGAAACATAGATAAAGGTGGGAGAACTGAATAAACACGACTAGGTGTCGCCACAGAGATAACAATTGACTCGTTCGGGGTTCATCCAGTAAGGGGGAGCATGTGGTGCGACAGTTACTACCGCCTTTGGGAGTTCCAATTTTTTCAAGGGGTTCGTGAACGATTTCACTTTCGCTTTTACCCCACTCCGGAGCTTCGCTCTCTGCGAAAATTTGGATTACATAGGCGATATGGACTGTCGCACCTCATGCCCCCCCCCCCTCGCTGACCTCCTTTGTTCCATGAGTGCAGGAATAAGCATCAAATTGATTTTTTTCTCAGATTTCCCTTCTTTTTCTTTTTCTCATGAAACGTCAGTCACCTCAAGGACCCTTTCTGAGCCCTTCAACCTGGTGAGCCCCACCCTTTAATTATGGGGTCCATTTGCCACGTCTCGAGACGAGACAGACGAAAGTCGAATGCATGGCTCATCCTTGGGGAATTTCTCAACAAAGGGCACTCTTATTTCCGATTCCTTATCTTGAAGATTGTAGGGGCACAAAGACAGAGTGAAAGCGACAAAAGCGAAAACCATAGAAAACTGCCGATAAACACGGAATGTGAGCAGTGAAAATTGAATAAATTCGGAATCATTATTGATCGGCGAAATTATCGCCGAAATGGACAAATATTTGGTCAAATACTGTATGTGTGGTCTGAATTAAACAGCAAAGTATTCATCAAGCAAAAAACGTCCCGCAACAGATGAGGTGATAAGAAGCGGGAAACCTTTGAGTGGATCGAAGATGAAGGAAACAAAGGTCATGGCCGGGAGACGGAAACATAGCATGAACTCAAAACCCAACGGCATATGGAGCTTGAATGTATAGCCTTCGGGGGCTGCGTCTGAGGGAGATCGATAAGCGGCTGCGGCTTGAATACATCGCATCGCGTCACGAATACGTCGCATCGCGATGGCACGACGTCGTCGCTCTCATTAGCCGGAATGAATGAAATCACTTGGGGAGTAATTGATGGTGTCCATTGAAAGAATCTCGTTTTCGGTAAAGGAATAGGTAAGAGCAGTTCTGTAGGAGGGTTGGAGGGGCAGAAAAAATGTAGGTGATAAACCGAGAAGCGGGCGACCTGTGTATTCCATCGGAAAGCGTCGGCCCGAGCGCAAGGAATGCATTAATGATGCCGAGAATACGGAATCTGTTCAGGATGAGAATCTAAGCGAATGACACATTCGTGAATTTTTCTCGCATGAACAGATGATCGTCAACGCAACATCATTTTTCCCGATATAGGGCTTGGGCAGGGTCAACCTCCCGTTCAGGGTCGGTCCTATCGTTGCTACTTTTTGAAAAATTTTTTACGACCCCCTCCCTCAAGAGTGGGTTGATCACGACCCCCCTGTTTCCACACCTCGACACGATCCACGCCCCAGGCATCGTCCACATTTTTTCAGGATTCTCTGCGTCCACTCAACACAAAACTCCACCACTTTGTCCTGTCGACGGGCTATCGCGGCGGCCGGTCCGAAACGGGGAGAAGGGATATTAGCTAATCTAAAAACAGTACCACAATGTTTTACACTAACTCTCTGAATTTTCGCAAACTTTTCCACCATTTTACTCTTACTTTACCCATTTTTACGCTATCCCCACTGCTGTCATTGCTCATCTTCCTACAGGGGGGACAACCTCTCAACCTATACGGACCCCCTCCACAAACTCAACCAGCGTACGACCCCCTATACGAGTAACAACGTAGGCTGATCCCTGCTCCCGTTTCAGCCACTGGCCACCTGCGTTGCCGACGAGTGTTACACTTGGATTACCACCTCGTACCTACGCTCGCCAGCGCTTCCTACGTTTTATCCTCAGCGGCTAAAACTACCGAAATCCTCTCCTCTTACAGGGTTGATCGACTTTGGTACTTTTTTACTACCACCGAAGAAAAGAGAGATTGACCACTACCACCATACGTGTTAGAGGAATCCCCGATATGAACCCGTCTCCAAACCTGGCCACCACCCTCACCATCGTGGCTGTTACTAGCATTTGATTCGTGAGGCCTGTCTACATAGCCGTCCTTCGTTAGCGGTGAGATTGTGGCAAAGAAACGGCAAGCTTTCGATTTTGTACATTTACTTTCCTATTTCGCCTTCAAAAACTCGTTCTCTCCGTTCAAAAACAAGTCCTTCACCGGCAACCACGGCCTCTCACTTCAGCTCCTAGAAATATGCCCCCTTTCCACCTTTTGTCTTCACTAACATCGTTTTTCCATGTTGATGAAGCTCCATAGATCGATGGGCATAGAAATATGTAAAAGGATGCAAATTGCTAATGGAGTAGCTGATACGGAATTAAATCCCTCATAGAAACCAAAACACGCCCCTCTGTATGGTACCGTGCCAACTCAAGGTTGACCTGCTTGGACGGGTGGGTGGTGATGGGAGGGAAGTGTGGTTACTACCCATATCAAAGTGGGTGGATTAGGCTCGAATAGGTCACACCAATCTCGCCTGAATCGAACCAAGCTTGCTTCAACGGAAATTCTTCAAGAGCGATAATGGGTTTCTGTCGGTATTTCCGGAAAGGATTCTGCAAACGTGGAGCGCTCGCATAGATGGAGGCGGAGACTATGTGAAGAAAATAGTTCTTCACGCAGATGCGTCGATTTGCAGATGAGAAATGATTGTCTGAGAGAATTGAGCGCTTCGTGTGAGAAGTCCGAAGCAAAGAGTCGGCGAGTGAGGAAATATGGCAGCCTTGCTAGGAGGCACACTTCCTCTCACGCACCAGACTGACGTCAGTGAATAGGTAACTCAGAGCAGAGCAGATAAAGCCTCTGCTCTATCTAATCGATTTGGTGGTGAAGCTTTCGCTCCGCCTTCGGTCTGTCCTCTCTCTGCCGTCGCTTCGCTATTGGAAGCCACTCGTATTGAGTAGCGTAAAGCCGAAGCTAGAAGAATCTACGGCCCCGCTGAAACTTCGATTTCCATTTACGCACACAAGGTGTCGAAAACGACGACGTGAGAATCGACCGCCAGCAAGAACTATTGAGCGAGCAGATTCAGGAAGGAAGTGCACGTTTCAGTTGGTCTCCAGAAGGAGGCTATCGCTTATATCTGACGGATTTGCCGGAGGCGAAGAGACTGAAACGTAAGCCTAATAAAGGTGCGGTCGTCTTGGACAGACTTCAACAAACCATTCAATTCAGTCTTTCTATGCTAGGAGGATTCCTATGCTATCAAGAGAAGGTCTATTCCGGACTATTGGTCACAGCGCTTTTTCAAAGTCTACATGCAGCAGCCGAAAGGAAATCTGCCATTACTGGGACCAATTTGGACAGTTGTCGTGAAATTTTCTTAGAAACCTGAGAAAATTTTGTTTACTTCGATGCAAAATCTTTCAAACGATCATATCTTTTCAATGTAAAGGAATCACAGCAGTAGTAGCAAATTGGGAAGGCAATGTTGTCGCGTTTTAATGATTCCTCAGGGATGCGCCGCGCACTTGGAATTGTCACAATCATTAATGGCTCGA